ACCTAATTATTAAACATAATATAATTCATTATTATATTATATGGTATAACTAGGTAACAAGTATTCCTAAGTAAAATTATTTAATTAATTATTACTTAATTATCAAATCCCTTATTATATTATATTATACAATTGAATAGGAAATATTTCTAAGTAAAATTAAATATTATAATAATTTAATAATTATTCTATAATTATCAAATTAATATAATTTTCAAACATATTACATTGTATAACTACTATAATATAATTTCTGATTATATGTTATTTTATATAACTGAGTCCCAATCATTGCTAAGCAAAATTATTTAATTCATTATTTTATAATTATCAAATTACTATAATCCCTTAATATATTATATTACATAATTGGGTAACACAAATATTCTTAAGTAAAATTATTTAATTAATTATTTCCTAATTATTAAATTAATATAATTCGTTATTATATTATATGATACAACTGTCTATCAAACATTGCTAAGCAAAATTATTTAATTAATCATTTTCTAATTATAAAATAAATATAATATATAATAATCCCTTATTATATTACATGGTCCAAACATTCCAAAAAAAAAAACAAAATGATTTAATAAATTATTACTTAATTATCTAACCCTTAATTATATTACATTGTATAACTGTATAACACAAACATTCAGAAACAATGCAACAAAACTGATTGAAATATCTCATACAATAAATTAATGAATTGATTTTATTATAATTTTAGGGCCAACAGACCTAAGCATGAAGAACACAAAACCCTTGCTTAGTCACAAATTAAATGCAACAGAGATGACAGCAGTTAGGCAGCTTATAACCGGATATCGGGAATCTGCAGCCTTTTTATTGAGGTCCGCTGACGAATTGGAACAATTGTTGCTTCAACAACCATAGAGTTACGTTTACGTCGGCAACGTTTAAATAAAACTCAATATAAAAAGAGTTTTTTTTAATTCCGTCGTCGTCGTCGTCCTCGTCGTCGTCCTCGTCGTCGTCGTCGTCGTCGTCATCCTCGTCGTCGTCGTCGTCGTCGTCGTCGTTGTCCTTCGTCTTCATCGTTCATCCAAAAACAACAAAACAAGAAAATAAACAATTGAACGAACTCAATCGAAAATGAACAATTTTTGTTTTCAAACAAACAAATCTTTTTCGACATTTTCGACAAAATAAAAAAAAAACAATTTTCCTGAGGACTATGGTTGGGGGTGAGATTGAAGAAAAGGTGTTTTTAATATGGTGTTTACGTGATGGTGTTGTATGGTGATGGTGATGATCATCGTTGACGAATAGCAAATATGAAAATGTACTCACCCCCCGCTTCTCCCCTCACTCCCTCCCCACCAACCCCCTCTTACGTGTCGTCTGCCTTCCATTTTCTCCTTCTTTTCTCTCTCTCTCTCTCTTACTCTGATTCTTATTCTCTCGTCTCTTTTCATCTAATCTTTCCTCTTCTTTAGTTTTTCCATGAGGAAAAATACAACAAACAAACAAACAAACAAACAAAAATACAAGGAATTTATATAGACGATGCTTCGGCCCATTTCTTACGAAAATGTTTTCCTCCCATTTTCTACCTCCCCCCCTCCCCACCACCACTCAGCCTCCCCCCCCCCTCCTCCCTCAGCCCTCTTCTCAATGATTCAAACAAAGAAATTTCTGCCAAGCAAAAAGAAAAGAGAGTTAAAAAATAATTAAAAAAAAAAAAGATATTACATTTTTTTTTTCATTTTGTTTGATTTGCAAAGATGAATCTCTCTCGTTTTACTATTACTATTGCTATTACTGCTATTATTATTACTATTTACTATTACTACTCTATTTACTACTAACCATTATAGAGAAAGATAAGAAATGTTTGTTTCCTTTGTTTTTGTGTGTGTGTATTATATTGTAAAAAAAAACAAAAATGTTTTCTCTCGAACTAAAGAAGAAGAAGAAGAAGAAGAAGAAGAAGAAAAAGACACAAAAAAGAAAAAGAAAAAGAAAAAAAAAAGCTAAACTGAATGGATCTACAAGATGGTGGAGAAAAATTTACAAAAACAATTTAATAAATAAATAAATAAATAAATGAAAAAAGATAAAAGGAAAATATGAACAAATTGTGGATTTTGCACACACAGAGAGAGAGAGCGAGAGAGAGAGAGAGAGAGAGAGAAAGGAAAATATAAAAGAAAAAAAAAAGAAAAAAAACAAGTAATAATAATTATTATATTAAATGACAAAAATAATAATACTACAATGATGATATGAGAATGTAGAAAAAAATCTTTTAAGGAGTCAAACGTGTGAAAAATGCAAACATTATTAAAAATACAATTAAACGAACAGTTAAAAAAAAAAAAAAAAACGAACGACACTCAAAAACAATGAAAAATGGGTCTCTCTCCTAGGGATTTTGAACAAATTTCAAATAAAATATTTGTTAAGTGCATTAACAGCGCCCTGACTTATTCGAACGAGGTTATGCAAGCTTCTTTCGAATCTTATTATTATTATTATTATTATTATTATTATTATTATTATTAAAATAATAATAATTATTATTATTATTAATTCTTAGCACTTAACAATTGTAGATTTTAGACGTTAATTGTAAGAATACAAATATTACAAACAGGGTGTACATACAACAGATGAACTACAAGACAAATATTTACTTAATTATTAATATTATTATTATTATTATTATTATTATATTAATATAAATAATATTATAATAATAATAATTATTATTATTATGCATAATAAGACTTTAATAATTAATTATGAAACAAAAGAAAAAATTCTTAAATGTCGCGTGACAAAGTGATGGTTTGTCTCTCTTATCTTTTTATTTTTTTTTTTTTTTTTATTTTTATTATTTCAATGAATTACAATCGTTGTATGTGTATGTGTATGTGTATGTATGTGTGTGTAATTAGTTGTGTATAAATGAGAAAGAGAGAAAGAGAAAAAAAAATACAAGTTAATTTTAAGAAATTATTATTTCGTTTACCATTGGACGGAAAGTAAACAATTTATTACAAAAGTATAGAATAGAAAGGAAAAAAACAATGAATCAATGTGAATGATTATAATAATAATAATAATAATAATAATAATAATAATAATTAATTTTAACCCTTTCCCTTTCTCTCTGAGTAATTTTTCTAACTAATGTTCCTCTTTGGAATAATTTAATAATAATAATAATAATAAAAAAAAGAAGTACCATTATTACATTGTAATTCACCGTTATGTAAATATTATATTTATATATATATATATACATATATATATGTATATGTATGTAATACACACATCCACATATATATTATATATATATATATATATATATATATATTTATATTATGTACGTTTGTTGTACACATATATGGTCTCACAAAATAAAATTCTACGAAACTCGAGATAAATAATTAAATAATTAAATAAATAAATAAATATATAATTAATTAATTAATTAATAATTAGATAAACATTGTCTCGAGATATGGTGGAATTAATAAAATAATCGAAAAGAGGATTATGTGTTCGAAAAACACGAATGAACATTGTATGTTTTAAAGAGTAAACAAAAATAGTATAAATGAATGAATGAATGAATGAATGAATAAATGAATATGAATGGATGAATGAATTAATGAATTAATTAATGAAAAAAAAAATGCAACAAAATTTTCACTCATATATAATAAAAAACACACACGTGTAAATAGATTATGCTAGTGCATACGTAAAAATACATGTACATATAGATATATCCATACATGCATATATACATATACATATATTATACATATATATATATATATATATATATATAAGCATAAGTGTAGGGATCGCGCACGAATAAAATTGCATCTTATTTTTATTTTCTATTCGAACGTTGATAAATTGTCTCTGTGTGTGTGTGTATGTGTGTGTGTAATACAATCAACGTTAGAAAAGAAAATGAAAAATAAAGATAAATGATAAAGAAACAAAAAAAAAATAAAAATAAAAAAGAAGAAATAAAAAATGTATAAGAGAGAAAGGAAGGAAATAAGATTAAAAATGAAAAAAAAAAAACAACAACAACCAATTCATGTCGTATAATTAATTGTTTATAATTAATGATACATAATAATTAATTTCATCTCGTGTGATTTGTATGATGAATTAATTAAATATAATGCCCCTTTTTTTAAAACTCGTTACGTGGTCAACAAAGTAACAAATAAACAAACAAACAAAAGCAAAAAAATGAAATGAATATGAAAGAAAGAAAAAAAGTGAGAGAGAGAGAGAGAGAGAGAGAGAGAGAGAGAGAAAGATTGTAAATGAAATATATTTACATTACGGGGTTATAACCAAAAAAAAAGGAAGGGGGGTAGTAGAAAAGAAAAGAATGTAGGAAAGGGCTGTTAGAAAAAAAAAGGGACAGAAAATGTGTACAAAAAAACAAAAAAAAAACAAAAAATAAGAGTAAAACAAAAAACCAGAATGAGTGGGAAGAAAAATGGAATAAAATTGATAGTAAAAAGAGAGATACAAAAATACTATAAAATAATACATAAATAATAGACAAACTAAGACAAAGAGAGAGAGAGAGAGAGAGAGAGAGAGAGAGAGAGAGAGAGAAGGAAAAATGTCGAAAAACTATTAAAAAAAAAACAAACAAACAAATATTCTATCGGGACCATCTTGTCACGATTTAGATGACAGACAATACGCTAAAAATCGTATTAATGGTCACCGGACTAGCATCACCCGTGTTACCAAAGAACACAGATTAATTATCGATATTATAAACATTAACATTAAGTAAACTTATATTAGAAAAAAAACACCTACTTTGCGGTTGTATATTATTTTTTATTATTATTTTTTATTATTATTATTATTATTATTTTTTATTATTATTATTATTATTATTATTATTTTTTATTATTATTTTTTATTATTATTATTATTATTATTATTATTATTATTATTATTATTCTTTGTCTAATATTACATAAGAAATATAAGATAGAAACAAGAAAGATGTGAAAGAGGAAAATGTGACGATGAAAAAAATGTGACGATGAAAATGTGACGATGAAAAATGTGACGATGAAAAAAATGTGACGATGAAAAATGTGACGATGAAAATGTGAAGATGAAAATGAAGATAGTTAAATGATGACGATGCTGATGATGATGATGATGATAATGATAATGAATAAGATAATGATGAATGGAATGAAAGAATGATAATAAAATATAGAAAAAGAAAGAATTTAAAGAATGACACACACGAAGAATGAACGACATTTTTTTTTTTATTTATTTTTTTTTTCTTCTTCCCGTAACCGTGTATGAGTCAAACCTTTTATATATATATATATATATATTAACTGAATAAGACGTTATCAATGGTATGAAATGATAACGAGACAAGTGGCACGGATCACATTAATCCCAGCCCCTCATTATTATTATTATTATTATTATTATTATTATTATTATTATTATTATTATTATTATTATTATTATTATTATTATTATTATTATTATTATTATT